TATACGACCCTTGACTTGGGAATGGCGGAGGATAAGTGAGTTATAAAGGGAAGGGATCTCAATTTAAACCAGAAATGACTAAAATACATCTTTGACTGGATCTATGAATAAATCTATGACTGGGTTTGAACAGCACTTTCTTTTTAGGCAAAACAATGAATGATGCAATCTGAAGCTGGTATTGCGTCATACATGATATGAATTGCATCATATTATTCCTAGAAGTCATGGATGATGCAATCATAACAAAGCTTACATCACTCTGCTGAACAAATTGCCCTATATCAGCTCTGGAAATCATACAGTGTCATGCTCTCTTATTTGTCAGTGTTTGATTTTGCAAAGGGACACATTTCTGTTTAGCCAAAGTGAGCAGAGATGCCTCGTACTTGTGTGAGCAGTGCAGATAACTTCTGCTATGTTTGTAGTGAAGTGACTTTTGCATCACAAAAGCGCAGTATAACCACTATGGTTAAGAAAGCCTATCACCTTTATTTTGGCTGCAAAATTGAAGATCAAGACAAGAGGTGGGCCCCACACATATGCTGCAACACTTGTGCAACAAATCTTCGCCAGTGGTTGAACAGGAAAAGGAAATCTATGCCTTTTGCAGTGCCAATGATTTGGAGAGAGCCAACAGATCATACCAGCAATTGTTACTTCTGCATGGTGCCTCCAGTTGGGAAAGGTGTGTCAAAGAAGAAAAAGTGGACTGTGCATTATCCAAACATTCCATCAGCTATACGCCCAGTACCCCACGGAGAAGGACTGCCGGTTCCTGATGCACCAGAATCATTCTCACTTGAGTCAGATGAGGAAGAGGATGAAACTTCTGGTCCTGAACCATCAATGTCACAGGACCCACATTTTCTCCCATCCTCCTCCTCTGAACCACACCTCATAACACAAGGTGAACTGAATGACCTTGTCAGGGATTTGGAACTACCCAAGAGTAAGGCAGAGCTGTTGGGCTCCAGACTACAGCAGTGGAATCTCCTGGCAGGTGATGTTAGGGTTTCCATGTTCCGTGACCGTCAAAAGGATCTTGTCCCATTCTTCTTCATGGAAGGTGATCTTGTAGCCTGCAACAACATCGATGGTGTGATGGCAGCCCTCAACATCGTTCACGATCCAGATGAGTGGAGACTGTTCATTGATTCATCGAAGACGAGTCTTAAAGCTGTTTTACTGCATAATGGCAATGTTTTGTCATCAATTCCAGTTGGTCATGCAGTCCATATGAAGGAAACCTATGACAACATGAAACAACTTTTGAGGTGCATAAACTATGACCAACATCAGTGGCAGCTTTGTGACGATTTGAAGGTTGTTGCTCTCTTGCTTGGTCTGCAGACTGGATACACAAAGTACTGCTGTTTTCTCTGCGAATGGGATAGTCATGCAAGAGATTCCCACTACATTAAGAAAGACTGGACACTCCGACAGTCATTGGAGCCTGGGAGGAAAAGTGTTCAGCATCCACCACTTGTTGAATCAAGGAAGATTTTCTTACCACCCTTACACATCAAGCTGGGTCTGATGAAGAACTTTGTCAAGGCCATTGACAAAACACAAGCAGCTTTCAAGTACCTCCGTGGAAAATTTTCAAGGTTAAGTGAAGCTAAGATAAAGGAAGGTGTCTTTGTTGGTCCTCAGATTCGTGAACTTCTTCGAGATGATGCATTTGACCATGCAGTGCGTGGCAAGGAAAAGACGGCATGGAAAACCTTCCAGTTAGTGGCAATAAATTTTCTCGGAAACAACAAGGCAGACAACTACAGGTTGTTGGTGGAAAGCCTCCTCAAGGCATACAAAAGCCTTGGTTGCAACATGTCACTAAAGATAAATTTTTTGCACTCTCATCTAGATTTTTTTCCACCGAACTGCGGAGCAGTGAGCGACGAGCACGGCGAGCGATTTCACCAGGACATTGCAACAATGGAGAAACGCTATCAGGGCAAATGGAGCCCATCAGTGCTTGCAGACTATTGCTGGACAGTGACAAGAGATGCTCCATTTAATGAATACAAGAGACAAGCCAAGAAGCGCCGAGTAAACACTGAATAGGACTAAACTATGTACATAATAGTTTTTTGCCTTTTGTTTCATAATAAATTTTATTTATATAACCCTTTTGCTGATTTTTAAAGTGTTACATAAACAGGACCGGTGAAATATTATCGTGTAAAGCAACCATAAACACATGAAAAGACCTAGGTTTACAATTTATGATTAAAACTCTACTATCTACACAATATACATAGACATAAAATGTAAAAACTTAGAAACAGTAGCCAATCAGTTGTTTTAATTGTCATATTTGAATTCAGCACATCAAAATACATAATAAATAGCACATTTTATCTCTGAAGCAGATGACTTCTCAAAAATTGTAGACCAGTGTTATCAGTGACAACGTCTATTGCAAAAATGTGTCTGCCTCTTTATTTGCTAGTGGGTTTCCTAAGGCAGAACTGATGTGGTATGCTAAATCATCAGACTATATTTGATGGTATGTGATTGCGTTGTCCTCTTCTGGATTTAAGCCCTAAGAAAGGAAAGTAGGGGATGAGAAGGGAAAGGAAGATGAAGAGGGAAAGAGGCGAAGGGAATATGGCACAATCTCACATCAGCCTGTGAACTTTTGACAGGGTACAGATAGTGGTGTGTAATATCCCCACTTTGGTTTACTAATTACAAGGAACATATTATTTCAGCCAGTTTCACAAATCATAAAAACTTTTTGTATTGCAGGGTTTTCCCCGCTCCACCTTGTAATAAAGAGCAAAAATGGAGAGGGCTTGATAAAATTCTGGAAATTTGGAAACTTTTAATGCACTACAGTTTTTGTTTTGTTTTTTTCCTATTTGTTTAGTTTAAATGAAAAACTTTTCAGGGAAGAGAATGTGTGGAGGTATGAATAAAAGCCTGATGGCACTTCTACCTTATAGAGCTTATGAGAAGACCTTTGTTTCTCGGCACATCATTAGATCGAAGTATACTTCTGTCCTAAATATGACGATGTAAAAATGGAATCTTCTTCCTGAACAGATCTGCTCCCTGTCTGTATTCTGAATCCTGTCTACTGACTTTAGTGACATAAATAGATTGTTATATCTTTTTATTCCTGTTAATCTTTCAGAACCAACAAACAGAGTGATTGTTCTTTCCAGTGCCCAGTTAACATAGTTGTCTCCTAAGTTTTGATTATAGAGGTTATCGATTACTTTATACTGGTGCAAATGCATTAAGAGCGATGCATTCTGACTGAGGGCTTGTCTACACTGGCAATGCTAAAGCTTTAACGTGCCTTGTATGGTCGCTCTAAAAAAACCACCTCCACGAGGGGCGTAGCTCCCAGCGCTGGGGCACTGTCTACACTGGCGCTTTACAGAGTTGCAACTTGCTGCACTCGGGGGTGTTTTTTCACACCCCTGAGTGAGAAAGTTGCAGCGCTGTTAATTGCCAGTGTAGACAAGCCCTAAATCTTAACTGGGGAGCCGCTGCTTTGGGGTGAGCCCCAGGAGGCCATTGCTTCTTCTCTTAATCTTCCAACCGTCCTGTATCTGCCTCCTCTCAGCCTTTCAGCTCAGTCCAGCTGTGAATAATGGAGAAAATTTATAGATTTGTAAATATACACAAAATACATGTTTAATAATAAGCTGTGAGTGATAAGGATTACAGGGGTGAGTGCCAGAGGGACTCTGGGTGTGTTTGAACTAGCTTTGATGGGAAGGAAAGAGTGCAGCCTGATTTTTAAATCTCAAGCTGGATTTGCAAGTAAAATAAACACACAAATATATTTTATAAACTGAGTACACTTGAAATGACAGTTGAGAGACAATGCACTTTGATTCCCTCAATGTCATTTTTAGAGTCACTTTTCAAAGTAGAACTGTGCTATAATAACTGAGGTAGCTGAAGAAAGATGGAGTAAATGAGACAAACTGATTACAAGTGTATCTTTGATGTAACTTTTATAATAGCAATATTAATATCCATTGTAACTCACAATCTGTAGAGCCTCAATATTCTCCAAGATTCTGATCTCAGTTACATTTGGAGTATGTACAAAGAAGTTGGTGTGGGCTCAATGTACTCTGGATTTATGCTAGTGTAACGAGATCAGAATCTGGCCGGTCATGTACATCTACCCCTTCTCTCTCTCTACTGCTTTTGTGCTTTCAATGATTCTGCTTGCCTGTATGTTGCAAATTAACTACCCTTAAACAAAAAATAGTCCCTATGTTGCCATTGCTTGCAAAGCAAGGTACACAAAGAGCCAGATTTGTTCTGATACTCTAGATTTACTGAACAAATATTTTATATGCTACTGTAAAAGTTTTGTTAGAAAATAAACTGCTTGCTTGAACTCTTTTCCCCAAAGAAACTTCTCCTATATAAGCATAACATCTGCTATAAATTGTTATGAGTAATATCTTCTAAAACCACTTCCATAGAAACAAGAATTCTTATTTCCATTTATGATAATATTTCACAATCAAAGAAGCTGCAAAAGAAATAGGAATGAGATCTTCTGGTTGCAAGGATCTATGTAATCCTGTTGTCTACGTTCGCTTCTTAAAACATCACTTGCCTGTTATACATGTAATATACTATATTGTATGTGTATCAACAGGACCTTTAGATTAAGGGGTTTTTCTATTTTTTTAATATTGGATCTGTGGTAAACTGAAAGGTTATCAGAGTCAGGCTGTCACACAGAAGAAGAAGAATACTGAAACAGGAACCTACTGGCTTCTTTAACCTTTTGCTGTAAGGAAATGTGCCTTTCTCCATTTGATTTTGAAAAAGGAAATAGACTGTGGTGGTGTGGCTGTGGAACTTTCTCTTTCTGCCTCTATCATTGCAAATGTGTTAGTTAAAGAAATGAAAAGAAAAAGTCTACTATTAAACAGTAGAATTGAACAGTAGAATATCTTAGCTCTGTCAAGATAACACAGTGAAAGTGATTGACTGCCCTTTTTGTTTTCTTTTAGGTGTCAGAAACTATTTGAAAGAAGCATTAGTGAATATCATCGCTGTGCACGCAGAGGTGAGGTAACTTTAGATTATTCACATTATTGCAAGCGTCAAACAAAATAAGTTGTCTGACTTCATTGGAAATGAGCACTCTGAAAATCAGGCCACTTTTATTTACGTGTTTAAATATAAATTTTATTAAAGAGGTGGGGGTGGTTAAAAATTGTATAAACTTCCATCAGTAACACCATATATCAAATTGTAGGGCTTGTTTACCCTGAAAGAGAATCCAGAATAAAGTAGCGTGTGAATTTAAAGTGGATTAACTATTCCTGATTAATTCTAGGTGTAGACACTCTTATTCCGGAATAAGAGTGCCTTATTCTGAATTAGTATGGATTAAATTTGGTTTACCTATGTGAACAGTCAGTACGCAGCAAGCTGGGAAGTAAGTCTACTTTGTGCTATCCTGCTGCTATCCTAACTGTCTGTGTGATCCTGCTGTCATGCCCAAAAAGTTCCCTAGTGCACTTTAATGTACTCCTGTTTCAAAACAGGGTAGGTCAAAGCACACTAAGGGTATGTCTACACTACGAAATTAGGTCGATTTAATAGAAGTCGTTTTTTTAGAAATCGATTTGATACAGTCAATTGTGTGTGTCCCCACTAAGCGCATTAAATCAACGGTGTGCGTCCACAGTACCGAGGCTAGCGTCGATTTTCGGAGCGTTGCACTGTGGTAGCTATCCCACAGTTCCCGCAGTCTCCGCCGCCCGTTGGAATTCTGGGTTGAGCTCCCAATGCCTGATGGGGCAAAAACATTGTCGCAGGTGGTCCTGGGTACATGTTGTCAGGCCCCTCCCTCCCTCCCTCCCTCTGTGAAAGCAATGGCAAAAAATCGTTTCTCGCCTTTTTTCCTGGGTTACCCATGCAGACGACATACCACGGCAAGCATTGAGCCCACTCAGCTCACTGTCACCATATGTCTCCTGGGTGCTGCTGGCAGACGCGGTACTGCATTGCTACACAGCAGCATCCCCTTGCCTTGCCTTGCCTTGCCTTGCCTTGCCTTGCGGACGGCAGACGGTAGACTACGACTGCTAGCCGTCATCGTCGTCCCTCGGTTAGGTTGGTCAGGGGCGCCTGGGCAGACATGGGTGCTCCTGGCTGGCCTCGGTGAGGTCGGTCGGGGGCGCCTGGACAAAAATGGGAATGACTCCAGGTCATTCTCTTCTTTAAGTTTTGTCTAATGGAGATTCAGTCCTGCCTGGAATATCATGCCAGCTGGAGGCTTCTGCCTCAGGCTGCTCTCCCAGTCGGCAGCACCGCGTGGTCGCACCTACCCCAGGCTACCCCTTGCTCCCATGGCTCATGAAGCCTGGACAGTAGAAAGGAGCAGTTCAACTATAGGCTGAGCAAGTGCATAATGGTGGTAGAATGTGCCTTTGGACGTTTAAAAGCGTGCTGGCACAGTTTACGGACTCAGACCTCAGCTAAACCAATATTCCCATCGTTATTACTGCATGCTGTGTGCTCCACAATATCTGTGAGAGTAAGGGGGAGACATTTATGGTGGGGTGGGAGGTTGAGGCAAATCGCCTGGCCACTGATTACACACAGCCATACACCAGGGCAGTTAGAAGAGCACAACAGGGTGCGCTGTACATCAGAGAAGCTTTGAAAACCAGTTTCATGACTGGCCAGGCTACAGTGTGAAAGTTCTATTTGTTTCTCCTTGATAAAAACGTGCCCCCTTGGTTCACTCTACTTCCCTGTAAGCCAACCGCCCTCCCCTCCCCCCTTTGATCTTCGCTTGCAGAGGCAATAAAGTCATCGTTGTTTCAAATTCATGCATTCTTTATTAATTCGTCACACAAATGAGGGGATAACTGCCAAGGTAGCCCAGGAGGGGTGGGAGAGGAGGGAAGTACAGGGGTGGGGTAGTTGTAGGGGCAACCCCTAGAATGGCATGCAGCTCATCATAGAAGCGGCATGTCTGGGGCTCGGACCCGGAGCAGCCGTTTGCCTCTCTGGTTCTTTGGTAGGTTTCTCGCAGCACTGCGGCAGGTCCCTGTTATAACCTCTGTCCTTCATGCCTTTGGAGATTTTTTCAAATATTCTGGCATTTCGTCTTTTGGAACGGAGTTCAGATAGCACGGATTCGTCTCCCCATACAGCGATCAGATCCAGTACCTCCCGTTTGGTCCATGCTGGAGCTCTTTTGCGATTCTGGGACTCCACGGTCACCTGTACTGATCAGCTTGCTATGCTGGCCAAACAGGAAATGAAATTCAAAAGTTTGCGGGTTTTTCCTGTGTACCTGGCCAGTGCATCTGAGTTGAGAGTGCTGTCCAGAGAGGTCACAATGGAGCACTGTGGGATAGCTCCCGGAGGCCAATACCATTGAATTGCATCCACACTACCCCAAATTCGACCCAGCAGGGTCGATTTCAGCGCTAATCCCCTCGTCGGGGAGGAGTACAGAAATCGATTTTAAGAGCCCTTTAAGTCGACAAAAATGGCTTCGTCGTGTGGACGGGTGCAGGGTTAAATCGATCTAACACTACTAAATTCGACCTAAACTCGTAGTGTAGATCAGGGCTAAGAGTAAATAAGAGTGCCTTATTCCAAATTAGTATGGTTTAAACTAATTTAAAATAAGGCACTCTTGTTCTGGAATAAGTATCCACATGTGGAGTTAATCAGGGGCTGTTTTGGAATAACTCCCTATGGAGACAAATCGTTGGTGTGTGCTTTTTATTTTCTTTCAACAATCTGAAAAAGAGGAAAGTCAAAGTATAAAACTCAATTCTTCTCTTTCCGTGCATGTTTTAAAAAAATACAGTGCTCTTTCTATGAACTGAGTTAGTTTCTGCTTCAAGAGATGGGAGTGTGGGGGAAGTGTTGAACATGTGCTGCTTGAGCGGGAAAACATACATCATGTTGCATGGAAATTCATCAAGCACAAATAGAAAATCTGGAGTGGATGCATAGTATATATTTGCCTGCATGACCCCATTTTGAGACTTTCTGTTTCCTGTGACCCAGACAACAACAAAGCAACGTAACAACCAAGGAATCCAAGGAATTTTAGTTAGTGCTGTCTTATGTGAGCACATGGACTTGTGTGTTGCAACACAGCTTCTCTAAATCCGGCCGTGTAGTAGAAATTGCATATCTAATCTAATTGTGACATTAGGGGCAGATCGATACTGAGACTTGATGGACACAAATGTGCTGAATCCAGCTTCATACAAATATGTGCTCATGAATGGCACCATCAGTTTCAATGCATGTGTTGAGAGTGCAGGATATTCATTCTTGACGGTGAACCCAGAACTCTGGGAGAGAAAATTGGGCATATGTTACTCCCAAGAATCAATCGCAGGAAATTTCGATGAGCTGTTCAATTTCAGCTGCTGGCAAATCCATGGCATGAGGTTTGCAAACAGGTTTCACACCCAGTCATACTTTATAAGTACAAGGTCAGGGGAAAAGGATGCAAACCATTACTCCATCTGGCTGAGATGCTCAGTCATCATGTGTCTGGGAGGCCAAATAATTTCATTATCAGCCAATAACTTACAGCACAGAGACAGCAATTTACAATGATCCTTTATCGAGTACTAACAAGATACTTATGGTGGCATAAAAGAAGATATGGGTCCTGCCTTAAGGAGCTTACAAGCCACTGCAGCTTCCCATCTCAGAAACAGCTAGCACAGACTCCTACTGGCTCAAGCAGAGAGGATGCTCTTGTGGTAAAACTGCTGCCCATAGATAAGTATCTTCTGGATTCAAATCTCCCTCCCCTGGATGCTGGCACAGCCAGATGGTGCAAATGGTTAAATGGCATCCATACAACCACCTCCGTACAGCCAACGTGTCTGGACCTGCTCCACAAATACTGTCTCAGGAAGCTGCTGTTTTACAAAATGATGATCTCTGCATAGAGTGACCTCACACACCCCATAGGTGTAAGGTCGCACTTTGTGGAGGTCACCATTTTGTAGATCAAAATAGCGGTCTCCTGGTGTGGCACCTGTGGAGCAAGTCTGGACGTGTTTGGGGGCAGACAGCGTCAGATTGCGAACTGAATCTGACCTGTTGGACCCACAACCCCATCTGCTGAGGGCACTACCCCAGTTTGGGAACCGCGGATATGTAGCATCTGGACTCCCAAAATGGGCCATGGCTTGCAACAGAGAGGAGGAGTGTATGTTAAAAAAGTAAGCGTGAAATACTGATGAAAATTGAAATAATTATTTGCAGAGCTGCACACTTCCAGATGCATACCTAAGTGTAAATAGACTATTGCAGGAATTTTCTACAGTACTTAAGCTATAGCACCTGTTCTAAATAATCCCATCCCTCGCCATCACAAAATGTATTTTCTCATTAATATTACCAAAACCATTCTTTCACATAGCACAAATAACACTGTTCAGTCTTTAGACCCTCTTTACTTGCTTAAAATTGGCTTTTGAGTATTTTAGACTCCTTTTAATATTTTCTTTAATTAGAGGGACTAATGCTCATTGAAATATTTTCATGGCTTTTGGAATTCCAATTAAAACAGATTTTTGTTTTAATGCAGGTATTTACCTTCAGTGTATGTAGCACAAATACTGCAGCATTGTGCCAGTACTTGAGAATGAAGGAGTTAACATAACTATAAACCACAGTGAAAATGATTAGTCTGTTTTCATTTTCCAGGATGAGTAAATTACATGAAAGGAACAAACAAAATAAGTTAGATTTTTCTTTTAAATTCAGTTAAAATAATCTAAATTGTTTTTAATAAACACAAGTAAGGACATTTTTAAAATGATTTTTAACTTGGCTGTGTCCTTTTAAGTAGGTATAATTATTAAAGTCCTGATTCAGCCAGGGAGTTAAGCATATGACTACCTTAAAAAAGTTTGTTGTCTCATTAACTTCAATTGGACTACTCGTGCTTAAAATTAGGGCACATGCATAAGTACCCTATTGAATTGGATGCTAGTTGATTGTCCCGTGTTAAGTTTTGCCTCATGAATTTCTATGTGTGAAATGACATTTTCGCAAGTACTTGAAGAAGTATGTGAATTTGATCACTGGTGTGAAATTTTACAATTTCCACAAGAGTAACACTGTTTTCTGCTGAAATTTTGCCAATCTGGCTCAGTCTTAGATTTTGCTAGCAACACTGCTGATTTTTGTAGTTTAAACAACAATAGTTAACCATCAACTGTGCAATAAGCAGGTTCTGAGGTGAAAAAAATTGTTCCTTTAACTAAAAAGTCAAATTTGAACTGAAACCAAAATAAGTATAGTTTTTGCAAAAATGTGGTGATTTACTATGGCTGAGAATTTTTTTCCTGAGTTCTAACAAGTAATGTTGAGAATGGCCATTGTGGGTACAAATACTTTCCTCTTAGTAGAAGGCTTTGACCGTTTTCTTGGTATGCTTGTGTTGTATTGCTCAGCAACACCTGCATGAAATGGCTTTTTCCCATTTTGCTTTTACCATTTTTCTCTGTATGTGACCAAAATTGTTGGCTTTTGTGGGTCAAAGCAGTTAAAAGCAAGATGATTATTTGAACTCGTAGGTGAGTGACTGATAGCCAGCATATGTGTGGTCAGCATGCCGTGGCTGTAGTGCAAATCTGTTATGTTACTGTTTGTCTAGTCTGTGAAATCCATGACACATCACTCTCACATATATCGTGAAAAATCGGGTATGGTTCCTAAATTCATATTTGAGTTTTACTCATCCACATACTGGTGTTTCTCTAAATATTTTCCACTGATTATGCATTTCTATAAAGCAGTTTTTCATTGTCAAGTCAGACACGCTCCTAACTTTTACATAAAGCAAAGGTCCTATAGTAAAAGTGTGACCCAATCATTTGTTGTTGATTGCTTGTTTGTTTTTTTAAGAAATCTGAATAAATGAATAATGAAATTTCTAGCCAAAATCATCATCTTTCCCCATGACTCTGATCACATCACTTCCTCCTCAAATCACCATCCCTTTTTCTTTCCCCTCTCTTTTCCACATGTAATCCACACTGCTCCTCATTTTCATCGTCAAGGTTTAACACAACTCAATCTCATTTCCTCTTACCCACCTCTTGCCCCGTGTTCTGCCCAATTTTCTCTAATTATCTGAGACATTATCCCTCTTCCAGTGCACTATCAGTCTCTTACTGTCTTTAAATCTCTCCTTAAAACTGACTATTTTGCCAAGCTTCAGAACTCTGACACTGTTTGATCTCATTTTGGCGCCTGACTATCTTTTTGTTTTATTACTCTATTATTTTGTAAGCTTCTTAGGAGGTGGATCTTGTATTATTATTAAATTGAATTATGGCAGCAACAATGGACCCTAATTGGGAATGCAGGCACCGTTGGTCTCAGTGTTATACAAGCAAGTAATAAAAAAGACAGTCCAAGAGAGTTTTCAGTCTAGGTTTATAACAAGCCATAACAGGTGGAACAAACTGGCTGAGCAGTGGGAAGAAGATAAGGTGCTTCTGGGAAAAGCAACGAAACATGCAATCAAGGTTAACTCTTTGCATGTCCATACTAAGGTGCAATATAAATATTAATACAGATACCCAATTCATAGCTCTGATTTAAAACCTGCAGGTATTCACCATCTCTAAGGAATTAGTGCCTCGAGTACTGTCAAGGATTGTGGAATCTGTTGCTGAAGAACTAAGTCGACTGATGCAGTGTGTGTCATCGTTCAGTAAAAATGGAGCTTTACAGGTAGATAAAGACTCTGAGTTTCTATTTCTGAGTTGAGAAAATTGGAAATACTGTAGCTAGAGAGTGAGAGAGAGAGAGATTCCCCATTTTTATTGGACTGTAGCGTAATAGCCTGTTTGTACTCAAATGCAACAAACAGCTGTTGTAGAAGTTATATTTTTACCCATTATTTTACAGCAGCTGATTAAATATTTTGATTGTGTTCTTATTTTTGTCCGCAAAGATTTTGGTTTTAATAATGTTTTTAATTGTATTTTATAGCTTGCTTTTAAATCTGTTGGTATTAGTGTGGAAAGGTCAGTGTAGTGATGTGTCATAGTGGTATATTATTCCACTGTTTGGAGAGAGAATAAAAACATTTCCTGTATTGTACGACTCCAGAGGAAGGCATAGCTGCAAAATATCTGCAAAATGACATCACTATGGAAACACTTGCAAAAATTACCATTAAAAGAAGGTCTTAAAGATCCATTTATCAAAAGTCTTGCTATTCCCATTTCAAATTAGATGAACCAGTACTAACAACAATGAGCAAATGAACTGTGACCAGAGTATTTTAAATAAACAGAGGTGGGTGGGAATGTGTGCTGGCCCATTCAGAGAATCATAGAATATCAGGGTTGGAAGGGACCTCAGGAGGTCATCTAGTCCAACCCCCTGCTCAAAGCAGGACCAATCCCCGGACAGATTTTTGCCCCAAATCCCTAAATGGCCCCTTCAGGGATTGAATTCACAACCCTGGGTTTAGCAGGCCAATGCTCAAACCACTGAGCTATTCCCCCCCTTGTTTCTAACAATTTATTTTGAGTGCTTTTCTTGTGAAATTAAGATTCCCAATGAGGTTCAAGGAAGGGTAAGTTCTTAGGGTTTTGTAAATAACTATAACCCTGGTGCATCATTAGCAAAATATTTATAGAAGACATGGTTTAATCACTTTCTTCATAGAATCAGATCCAATAGTTCTTACTCAGACAAACCTCTAAAGTCAATGCTTTTGAATCTTTTGACTGAGGAATACCTATCAGCTATATATGGTCTGTGAATTGTTTGTAGTCCAGTCAATTGTACATCTTAAAATATCTTCATATTCGGGTTTTACTTCTATTCTTCCATGTCTTGTATTTAAAAAGCATGTTTAGCTTTTAAAACCCATTCTTAATAATGCAGATAAAAGGAATAGAAATCTGCAGCCAACACCCATCTTACTGTTCTTTCAGATTTATTTTTGAATTCTAAAGCAACTGAAAATCTAAACGAAAATGGGTTTATTTTTAAAAATATATTACACTCTTAGTAATGAAGATACAATGTAGAGTATTAGCAACTTAACGTTTAAAGAGGAGGTCCATAGACTAGTTATGCTTTTTAGTTAGCAATTAAACTTAATTGGAGCAGAAGACTCCATAGCCTAGTGAAATTACAAGGGTGGAATTAACTAGTGTATATTTAAAATGTAATTACATGTAAATGTATTAAATACAAATGTGACAAGGAGAGAAGGAAAATATTTGAGACCGAAATGTGATCTGATGTAATCCACAGTGGTCTGATACAAAGGAGCTTTGTGTTCCATATTGGCATACATGAGCATTCTGGTAGTTTACCTACCATTAATTGTGCATATTTTCCAAAAGGGATTTTGGAGGGATGAGGAGTTTACTCACAATAGTTGTATAATGTTATTAAATGCAAAGTCTCAGGACTACATTCAAATATTTGGTTTTTGTTTTTAAATCAAGCTTATGATTTTCTTAAACAAATGACCTATACTGTGTGGCAGGGTCTTTCAGATTGTGGCAGTGCCTGATTTGAACTCATACCATGGAAGTGGTGGCACTTTACCAATCCGTGGGTAAAACAGATATTTTAACACTGCCCTGCTCACTTCTGATTGCTCCATTAGTTTGAACTAGTTCTAGAGAAGTCTAAAGAAAAAAGAAAGCTCCCTTTGACTCAACAGGCACTTTCTCTGACATACAGCCTCTCTAGGACTTGCAGGAACTACCAGCTGCCATTTCATATTCTCTCCAGCAGTCTTGGCATCTGGTGTGGGGAAATGTAAATATTAAATCCCACCATATTATAAACCTTATGTACAGTTTTGATTTTAAATATATTTGTAATACTTTCCAAGTACTGTTAGTAGAATAGCATTTGAAGGAGAATTCATGTGGGAAGGACTTCTTGTCACAGACGGGTAAAGTTGGTAAATAAAGGCTCTACACAATTAATTTTTGAGTTGAATAAGTAGCCCACCTTTTATTGAACTCACTCCCTGAACCCATAACTGAAAGAATTGTCTCTCCCAGCAGAAAAATTTGTCAGTTGTGGTCCCTTTCTATCATTCTGGCCATAATCAACCCTCACTATTGATAGACTGATTGTACCAAAACCAGTAGGATATGGACCAGACCAAACTGCTCAATAATACCCATTCCCTGTGGAAAGAACTGAGCTTTGACAAGAGATGCCTCAATCTGTATTTAACAGCCATTCCCCTGATCCAACTACCCCCTACATATCCAGGCTTCACTCACTCCCCAGCCTTGTGCTTGACGTTAGGCATAAACTATGGCTTCTGATAATGTGCCACTACCACAGTGGGCTTTTGCCTCTTAAAACTGAAACAAAACTACTCAACTTAGTGTTACATTAAAACCCAAGAACTCAAAATTTTATTGGTGGCAGAGCCAGGGTCTAAAAGCGCCTAAGGCACCCAGCTCTCAAAAATCCTAACCCATTCATCCTGAAAGAACCTACAAGATGTTCAGGGAAGTTGAGAAGGCCCATCTTTGCTTGCCATTTTCCTACAAGAGAAACCTTTCTCCTTAACATAAAATTGGTGGTCAGCTAAATCCTAATGCTTGCCAGGAAGTCCTGCACCCTTAACGCACAAATCTGTGCTGGCTGCCTATCTAGCAGGGGAAAATAAAAACTCTGTATGTATGATATATGTATAAGATATTCCCAAACAAAAGCCTTCTTTACAGTTGAAAATAAATATGTATGTTAGAGTTTAAAAAGCTTAATTAGAAAGTTGACGTGGTTATATTAACTTTGGTTAAGTTTGGATCAGTCTCTGCATTTCATGATTGGATCCACCAGAACCTCTGTAATGGGCTGAACAAAAGCTGATTGTGAATTATGGTGAAGTTTGTGGCTCTAATCCATTTCTAGAAAGAAATGTGTAAATGGGATTTTTTTTTAAGTATTGATCAAATTCATGGTGTTACCATCTTCACATAAAATCCATGATGGAAATGATTTCAATGAGAGCAAAGAAAATCTCTTAAACCCTGATTGATTCACTTTTACCTCGGAAATGTACCCAAACTTCATTTTCCATTGTAGCCTGCTTAGCTGGAAATTGACACACAGGTACATTGCTGAGGCAAAATCCCCAAGCCTGTATACTCAGCGAAGTGACAGATGAGAGAAGTGGAGCAGAACCATCTACTTCCTCATCTGAAGAAGAAAATTCAGCAGCAAAACCCAGATTAAAATGTGTATTAACCGATTTTTGTTCTCTTGTGTTTTCTTTCTCTCTGGCCATGCTGTGCTGTAAGGTGCTAGTCTTGCCCTGTAGAAAGCAATAGCTAAACGTAGAAAAGCATGGAAATGCTATCTCAGAGCAGAAAAAGAGCACCAGAGTTCATGCTTTGGTACTGTTACTGGGAGACCGCTCTTTGTTTGGAGACAACTACATAGTGATTGGATAAACAATTTGACTTCAATTTCACAAATCTGTAATAGTTCCTGTAGCACTTCCTAACTGACATGGCAGAGTGGTAACCAGAAATACAGGAAACAAGTTATTGAAGTTAAGGCTGCTTAAAGTTGCAGTGTGCAGTAATATTTTACTTCTGAAAACAGGCGAGAGGCTTTGTGACATATATGTTTAATTAACCAAAGAATGTTTTAAATTTGTAACAATGGTTACATTCTGTCTCTAGGCAAGGCTTGAAATCTGTGCATTGAGAGATGCTGTGGCCGTATACCTAACACCAGAAAGCAAGTAAGATGCTAAGTAGATTGTGCTCTTGATTTAAAATGAAATGCCTGATAAATATGAAAAAAACACTACATATAGTTTAAATATTTGTTGAAAGAAATTTTATTTCAAATT